TCCCACGATGGTCACGAAGGCCACCATGCTCATGAAGATCATCAGCGTGAACGCATAATCCGATGCATATGGATAGTATATGGAATCAGACGATTGCGAGGCGACGCCGTCTGGTGCACCATCGATATCCTGCCCTTCTGTTAATGTATGGGATATATATCAATGGTTTGGTTTTAGCATATTTTGATCCATGGATATTGTATCCAAATATGGGATAAAGATCGGATCAGATACGTCCGGGATCCAAATGTTGAATAAAGAGGTCCAAAAAGCCACTTACTGGATGGTGCGGAATGGGACTCGCCTACAATCCTTTCGGAGAACTTAAAGAAAACTTCAGAGCGAAAACTCTGATGCACCCGAGCACATAACGCCAGCACAAATATTGTATATCAAACGTGTAATAAGTGTGTATTAAAAGTGTATATTAAACACGCCATCACGTACCGTCAAATAATGCATGGGTGAAGAAAAACGACACAGTCGCAAATAGATTGCGACAACTGTCTTCCATGGTACCTCTGTGTATCTGCAATCCATTCGTCAGACGATGGAAACCTACACAAAACAGAAAATCAGCTGAGAAGTTTGCAACAGTATTGAACATAAGTCGCAAACTATTTACGACATGTTTGGCCCAATGGCCGCCACTCGGGTGATTGTACGTCCTGCAGAAGACTGGACGAAATGAGAGCAACCAGAGCCATGTCCACTCGAACCAAATATTAATGCAGGGACTGATGTAGAAGTAATACTTCATCAAATGTACAATCGAAGGCATATGCGATTCTAAGTATAACGTCTAAGTATAGGCAAACGTATATGCGCAAAGACTCTTTAGCATCCACCGACACGATTGTGCTAGTAGCGACCACACACCACACCACATCACGCTGCCCACACAAATGGCCAGGGGACTTGCCTCTGGGTATCCTCTCCGAATCACTACTGTTAACCATTCGTAACCACAGACGGTGTAACATCCGCAGACATGACTGAGCCACAGCCAGCATTGCGGCAGCAATCCAATACATGAGACCCACTCCACTGCACACGCACACCCACAAGCAACGCTTGCTCGTGCCAATCCTCCGTCTCTGCGAAAGGTTGGTTGTGTATGCATGTTGACAGGCATATATATATATATATATATATATCGGTACACATGCAAAGAAATGTCTGCAGGTGACATTTAATGCGTTTAAATGAAAGTACAGACTGCTCCATGTGATAGTCAAAATGCGAGTCCATCTTGTTTGGACCACCTTTTACTTCTCCCGCGTGTGGCTGTAATACGCTTACATGACATTAAAGCCTTTGAGCCACCCATTCCCGTTTGAACGTGCGTTCTCCTTAGTCATCCGGTTTAAACAACAAGAACACAAGTACTGCGTCGGACTTGTAGCTGCTATGTCGTAAAACCCACACGCATTTATGCCAATACTTCCAACTTCTGAGATCGCGTATTACAGTAGCAACCTTTGAATGGTCCGTTTACAACCATCACATGTACGAATTAACGACATCTACACTTTATAATGCAAAACATGGCTCGAATGTCTTATATTGTACTCCACATTACATTATGTATGCCTCTATCATTCAATACAAAACAAGGGCTTAAATGTCGTATATTGTACCTCGCGTACCAAATTATCATATAAAACAACAACATGGCTAAAATATCGTATATTGTACCCCGCATACTATCATGTGCGGCTATATCATATAGTATATAACATGGACCCAAACGTCGTATATTGTACCCCGCATACCATCATGTGCGGCTATATCATATAGTATAAAACATGACCCAAACGTCGTATATTGTACCCCGCATACCATCATGCACGGCTATATAATATAGTATAAACCATGGCCTAAACGTCGTATATTGTACCCCGCATACCATCATGTGCGGCTATATCATATAGTATAAAACACGGCCCACATATCGTATATTGTACCCCGCATACCATCATGTAGGCTTCCATCCGCCTGACCACCTTGTCGAGCCGTTCCGCATGGCTGGCGAAGTACCTATTTAGTTCCTCCACGGACTGTGGCATCAATTGAAAGTTATTTTTAGAACATGAAAATAGAACAATATGTGGTACAAATGGAAAGTTCACAGAGCCTATCCTGGCACATATCGTACCTTCTCCACCCTAGCTATCCTGTCTCTCACATCAGCCCGTTCCGTTTTCATAGTGTGCAACGAGTTAATGGCCAAGTTCTGCCGCTGCTTCATCTCCTGCAGCCCCACATTCAACGCGTTCTGAACTTGATCCGTCAGAAAGTTCGATACTTTCGTCACGGCGTCTAATTTGTCCTGCGGATTAGGTAGTATATACATCGCGATAGCTATGAATAGAGTGAAATAACGAACCTCTA